AATTATGTACCCATTTCGACCTTATCTTGGTATAGGGTATGAGATGTTGGTCTATGCCTAGTTTCTGCCATACTATTTTCCAGTTTTCCCAGCAGTTTCTGTCAGTGAGTTCTTATCCCAAAAGCTGGGGTTTTTGGGTTTATCAAACAGTAGATTACTAGTCATTTACTATGTCTTGTTTACCTCACCTATTCCACTGATGCACCACTCTATTTCTTAGCCAATATCAAATAGTGTTGATGATTGCCACTTTATAATATAGTTTTAAATCTGGTACAGCCAGATCACCTTCCTTTGCATTTTTTTTTCATTAATCCCCTTTTCTTGACCTTTTGTTTTTCCAGATGAACTGTTATTTTTTCTAGCTCTATAAAATAATTTTTGGTAGCTTGTTATGGCACTGGATAAGTAAACTTAAGCAGAACTGTCATTTTTATTATATTAGCTCTGCCTACCCATGAAGTTTTTTTTTTAAGTGCCTTTATCTTCTCCTTCAGATCCCTTATGAATCTATCCTTCAACGTTTGTCCTCCTGTGTTGCCTCCAGCAGGGAGTTCCTATTTATGGACACTTGGTCTATTTAGCTACTTTTCCCATTCTTGTCTTCTTTAGTGTTATGTACACCTTTTATAAGCATATCCAGGACTGTGATGTTAGCAAGTGTGGTAGCACTACTGCCTTTCCTTGACGGTTAACAAGTTTGTTATAAAAACTGTTATGCTCTTTTCCATTTTTATTCTGAAATTCTTGCATTTTCATCCTGAACTATCCCTTTAAATGACTTGACTTAGTTGGGTCTCTCACCATTCTTTGTTTAAGCTGATTATATCCTCTAATGAAGCTGTTTTATTAGACAGAACAGCTCAACTTCCATTATCATTGTCTTAAGATTTTACAAATGAGTTTGTATTATAAAGTGATGTAGGTTCTGGTTGCTCTTATATTTTGTGAATACTTTTCTTCAAGAAGCGAAATAGATGTGGGACATAATGAACACATAACATCACAAAAAAAATCATTACATTTTAAGTGATGGGAAACTATTCCTTATTAATGTAATTCCTTAGTTGTCTGGGTACAGTAAAACCACTGACCTGTTAGAGCAGAGGTTACAATACATAGTTAGAATAAAAATGAGGAAAATGTATGGCACATAATTAAACTGTGACCTATTCAGGTTACTGAAAATGGAAAGTGTTTAAAAGGACAGAAGGTTATAATTACCTATAAAAGTTTAATTGATATAAATCAACTGCCATGAAAAACTATCTTTTGCTTCTTTATATCCCTAGAACTTAACACAGGGGCTGGCACAAAGTAGGTGCTTAATGCTAGTGGATAACCAAAAGAACCTAGAAAGCACTTCAGTTAGCAAACACTTGATTCTCCTGGTGAGAAAATTGTATCCATTGCTCCAGATGGGCTATTGCTGTGAATGGTGTCCTAGAGCAGTCTGGAGCACTAAAAGGTTAGAGCCCCAGGACTGTATCACAGATCACAGATGTAGGACTTAAACTCAGGTCTTTCTGACTAGCCAGCTCTCTGAAAACTTTGCCACAGCTACCTACATGAAAATAAATAAAACACACATATTAGCAAATGTATAGAAATGTCCATGTATATATGTATACATCTTTCTGTATATTTGGACTCTGCTAAAATGACATAAATAGAATGGAAAGCCTGGGTTATTATTAGGGACACAACTGAACTTTGTGATTTTTATATAGATGGGTCTTTAGATAGCTACTTTTTCCTAGGAAGTGCCACTGCATTTGCATGTTTCTGACACAAAGAACTAATCCTGAATGATTTCAGATTGAGTCAAATACTTGATCCTTAACAACAAACACAATCTACAGACACCGACAGACACAGGTACAAGACACAATCACAATGTTTGTTTTTTTTAACATTTTTATTGATATCTTTTGTTTTTCATATCATCTTCATTTCTAAATATATCACTCCTTTCAGTTATTCCTTGTTAAAAAAAACAGGAAAACTGAACAACACATCTACACATTCACAGTTTCTATGCATGTTAAACTAATTGATTTGCTTTATTTAAAACTGAAAGACATTTAGCAAACTACCATAACATTAAAAGGTCATTTATCACCAAAGAAACATCCACTCTGATCAGTTTCAATTCAGTTTCAGTATATATTAGGGTCTAATATTACTGATTAGAGAAAATACAGAAAATCCCCAAATAACCTATCTAACCAGAATCAATTCACTTTGGGGGGAGGAAAGGGGTGTGGAATGAAGCCCAGGATGATAAGACAAGCTCTTATCAGATATTTAATTTTAAAATTTCGGTAGAAATTTGGTGTCTGCCACCTTCTAGATTTAACTCTATAGTACAATGATCACTGATATTCAGAAAAGTGACTTTGAATTGCATAAGATCGTGTAACTGTGTTAAGGGAGAAAAACATAACACAATTTAGAAAGATGTTCTAAAACAATTGAAAAGTTTTTCTGGTTCATCCTGAAATAGCTGGAAAATTCAATTAGTCAGATCTTCTGCTCCCTCCACCCTCATTTTCTAAACACTGCAGTTAATGTTACTATTACTTTACTATTCAATCATCAAGAAGTCCTACAAAAACATATAACCAAGAAGTTGAACTCATGGTCTTTAGGATCATTAAATTATATAGAAGTAGATAACCAAGAACTATGCATAAAGTCAATCATGGGAACTTCTGTCTCTTGCATATATACCACTACTTATTGCCTAAGTTCTTTGAAATGAGAAAGTATTCAGTCCTGAACAATTCTACTTGGCTCTAAGTGTGCTCAAAAACTGACCCTTATTAAACTTCATTTACTTTTCTAAAAGTCGTATGATCAATGCATTAAATATACTTGGGGCCTAATCTATAGCATTCTCAGCTTGGTGATGGCTGGAAGGGAACAAATACAGGTTGTCTGAAATAGTTGCAGAGCACAAATGTTAACTCCAAGACAAAGATTTATGTCAGAAAACTTGTTAATTTAATCAAGGGTATTTAAAGGATTCCTATATAAAACACTGTCTTCATAGAAAGTAACTTCACGGGCAGCTAGGTGGCACAGTGGATAGGGCACCAGTCCTGGAGTCAGGAGGACCTGAGTTCAAATCCAGCCTCAGACACATAACACTTAAGCAAGTCACTTAACCTCACTGACCAGCAAAAAAAAGAAAGTAACTTTGGCTAAGCCCTCTGTGCTTCAACTGTATTTTATGCATATCATAATAATTTTTAGAGAAAAAAATCTAAGATCATATACTTAGAACTGGAAGGAAACTTAGAATTCATTTTTTATAAATGAGAAAACTAAGGCCCTAAGAGGTGATAGGCGTGTTCATGTAGTAAGAAGATCAAGGATTTGAACCCAGGTGCTCAGACCACAATCCTGTTCTTTCTTCACAGTACCATTCTGCCTCTATTGGGTTAAGTGAAAATCAGCATCTGAATACAGAAAACCCACAAAGAATTTTAATGAGAATAATTCTTTGATCTGCTAAGTAGGTCATGGTAAAAGAAATGGAAAGTAAGTAAGTAAGAACCTAAAAACCATCTTTTTTCTTTCTCTTTCTGCAGGAGCAACATTTATTTTGCACCCAACAAAGACAAGGGAATGCTGAAATTTTTGATTTGGGAAGAACAGGAGGACTCGATTCTAAATACTTCACTGCTGTGGATGGATAAGGTTTTTCAACCTCAGTTCTAGAAACTTCCACCAAAAAACAAAACAAACAAAAAATGAGTTTTGGATTTGTGGCCCTTACACTACATTCCCCAAACCAAACTGTGTTAAGTCAGAAAGAGACCCTGCTTAATCAGTTCTGACATTTTAACCCACTATGACTAAATGATTATACAGAGTGGTTGATTTTTAAAAATACTACATAAGAATGAATTATGAACATTTATAGCAATGATTCTCAAACGTTTTCCATCTTAGGCCCCAAGTTATCCCTCTACCAAAACAAAGCAAGAAAAGAACCACAGTTGGTCTCTTAGTGCATTATAGTAGGTGTAAAGGTGGAGGTGGCCAATTTGACGCATCCATTTAACTTGAAGCAATTTCTATATTACAAGGGGAAGCATCAAGTTCTGCAACTTTGGTCTCTATGAACCTCAGAATAAATTCTCTTCAAGTGGAATTTGTACGACATTCTGATTTATTGTTACTTCAGAAGCACAGGCAACATAGCATTATGAAAAGAATACTGTAGCTGCCATCAGAGGACCTGGTATCAGAACCCATCTCTGCTACTCCTTTAGTAGCTTGGTCCCTTCCTAAATGCACAGTTAAATTCTTTGGCTCTCAGTTTCATTAGTAAAACAAAGCTGGACTAGTTAATATCTAAATACCACCTACCTAGTCAATTGAAATAATCTAACTCAAAAGAGTAAAACAACAAGTGAGGTCAAAACACTAATGAATTGGTGTAATTTGTTTCTATTCACAGAAAACCAATCAACACAAAGTTTATATTTTTCCTGTGTATCACAGAACTAGAACATAATACATTATATCTCAATTCTATTGTAGCAGCAGGAAAAGAGAAAGCTATCTACATAAACCCCAAAGCTGTTTTATGTAACCATCTTCTATTCACTTTGATTTTCACTCTGGCTGTTCTACCATTGTCCATTTTCTTTTACTATTCAACTAATCTCTATAGAATTTAAATAATTCCTTCATAACAGAAAGCTTCAAAAATCAATTTCAAATCCTTTATTTCATGAACTTAAACATTAACAAAAGTTGAGCAGTCTATAAATTAAAGATGGATGAATCTGTTTAATTCAAACAGAATATATTCAGAAAGTATAACTTTTTTTCTAATCTAAGACACTTATAGTGTGACAAACAGCACAGGAGAGCAAATGACTTAAAAGTTGTGTAGTCCACTGAGTAATGACTTTTATAAAGATACATACATATTCCCCCAACAATTCAGTGCTGGTCTGCAGAGGACTTCTGCTGGCTTTGTGCTATATGAAGGCTAGACGCAACTTTCCAATGCCAATTTTTTTATTTCATGAACTCAAGTTGGTTGACTGTTCTGTTGAAGTTGAGAGGCACAAACATACATATTCCAGTTAAGTGAAGGTAACAAATCATACAACTTCTTCAGTTTCCTTTTTCATCATTCACTTCGGGAGCAAATCATCAATGTTCATTCTTATCTCGTGTAGTACTGGCATATATTCAGCAATCAGGTATCACTGGATCACTTCTTCTTCTTCCCTTTTCCTTTTTTACCTCCCTCTCCTTGTTGAAGACTTTGGTCACCACCTCCTGTTTTTTGTGTCCTTGTTTTTAGTTTGGGTATCATTTCAGCTGCATACAACATTACTGACTTACCTAGAAATCAGAAGTTAGATTTAGCTTGTGTTTGTGAGTGAAGGATGCAATCAAGTAACTCCTAAGTTATAAAATCACCAGGCCATCAAATCAACAAAATAGTTTGCATTAAAAAAAAAAAAAATCAAATGAACTGTAGATGGTAAAGTCTGGCATAAACGGATCATCTACTGGAGACACAGAAGTACTGAGTCTATAACAGGTCCAAAGTGACATTAAAATGACAAAGAACTCTGAAACAAGTTTGTATACTTAAATTTCAGCTTTGTAAGACTAAAGGATTATTGAATTTATGCTCCATTATCATGAGTTACAAACAGAATCTGGGAGAGAATGTTATACCAGAGACCTATTATGCAAGTGCCCTACAATGGGTAATTGTGGTTTTTCAAGACTTGTAAATTACAGAAATCACTGGTTATTATCTATAGCTCACTCTGGATTACCCAAATCATCCATCTGTCTGGCTGTCAATCTGTGCTTTACTCCTAAACTGAGCTGCTCTTACAGTCAGGATGACCTGGATTCAAGTCCTGTCTCTAGAACTTACTAGCTGTGTCATCCTAGATAAGACAACATCTCATTAACCTATGCAACCATAATGTGTGGAAGAGTTGGTAAAGGGGACACCTCCTCATCAGGAGTTACCTATCCACCAATAATAAAATCACATATTTGGACCAAAAAAATAAAATCCTAAAGCCAGTTTTAAGAAAAATGTAAGTACTACCTCTTACTCTCTTTAATATTTAATGGATATAACCTCACACTTATCAGATTGGCTAATATGACAGAAAAGGAAAATGAAAATGTTGGAGGGAAGAGGAAAATTGGGACACTAACACACTGTTGGTGGAGTTGTGAACTGATCCAACCATTCTGGAATAATTTGGAACTAAACTAAAAGCCTACAAAAAACTCTTTGACCCAGCAATACCACTACTAGCCATATTTCAAAGAGATTAAAAAAAAGGGGCGAGAGGTAGAAGGACCTATCTGTACTAAAATATTTATATTAGCTCTTTTTTGTGGTGGCTAAGAATTAGCTATGGAGGGAAAATTTATCAATTGGGAAATGGCTAAACAAGTTGTGGTATATGACTGTGATGTAATACTATTATGGTATGAGAAACGACAAGCAGGATGCTCTCAGAAAAACCTGAAAAGACTTACGTGAACTGATGCAAAATGAAATGAGCAGAACCAGAAGTGGGACACAGTAACAGCAATATTGTACTATGATCAACTCTGAATGACTTAACTATCAGCTACAGAATGATCCAAGACAATTTCAAAGGACTCAGAGAAAGAACTCATGGAGTCTGAATAAAGACCAAAACATATTTCTCTTTCTCTCTCCCTCCCCCTTTCTCTCTTTCTCTAAGTTTTCTTCCACAAAATGACTAACATGGAAATTATTTACACGACTGCACATGTATAACCCATATCAAATTTTGTACCATCTCAGGGAAAGGGGAGGGGTGGGTGAGTAAGATTTCGGAATTCAAAATTAAAAAGAAAAAAAAAACATGAACATTAAAAAAAAAACTCTTTACATGTAACTGGGAAAAATGCTATTTAAAAAAAACACATCTAATGAGTATAATTCCTCCTCTTTGAAGAGTCAGATCATGTAAAACTTTTTATATGATTTCAAAAAGAAGTCTTACATTAATGCTTAGTAAAAATAGAGACAATAAGGTCATAAGACTAGTAAGGCAACAATACACTCAAACTTTACTCTAGTCTTACTAGTATTCATCAAAAATAACCCTCTGACTTACGTGATGGAAACTGTACAAGGCACAGGCTGCCATCTTCCTGCTTTAGCTGAACCCGTACTCTGCCCCTATACTGTAAATCACGATTCCACTCTCTGGAGTACATTTTATTTTTCTAGGATCCAAAACAGAAAAGCACTTATTTTGTTTCAAATGACAGACAATGTGAAATCTATCACTGAAATGAGTAAATTAAGTATTAAGGAATTTCACTGTACCTCAATGTGCACATTAAGTCCAACTGCCAGGCATACATCTTGGATCTCTGTAGCTGTAGGATTCTCAACAGCCTGAAACAGTTTTTGTATTAAAAAAAAAAAAGTTTATCCTTTAGCTGAAGAATGTTACATACATCCAACCATGGCACAAAGCTTACTAACAACAAACACCGCATTACATCCACCATATATAGTTCTCCCTGTCGATTTTGCATTCTACTAAACACTAATGGGGAAGTCACACAACTGTGCTGCATGGGTTGATTACAAATGTTAATCTAATTTCAACTGGTCCTTTACTGCTCCACAGCAATCCTTAAGTACCATGAGTGACTCCCACAATGGCTGTTGTAAACTTTCTCTTCCCTCAAGTCCCCTACACCACTCACTTTCCTCTTAACAGATAACCTTCCTACCAACTTACCAACATCTTCCTCATTTAAAAAAATCTATACTTTATAGACAAACGCCTATCTCTCACTTCTCAACCCCTCTCAATTTGGCTTCAACCTTACCACTTGACTGAAATGGTTCTCTTCAAGAACACCCAAAGTTCTCATGAGCTAAGTTCAATGGTTTTCCTCCCACCACCTAAGTCCTCATCTTCTTTGACTTCCCAGAAGCTGTTCAATAATTAACTACCCCCTTCTCATCAATATACTCTATTCCCTTGAATAGAGTTTTCTATTGATTCTCTAACCACTCCTTCAGTCTCTTCCACTGGATCATCATCCATGCCCAGTCTCCTGATGGTGGTTGTCCCCCAAGGCTGAGCCATCCTTTTTTTCTACAATTTTCTACAATTCTCTCAGTAACCTCATCAGCTCTAATAGGTTCAATTACCATCTTTAGGAAAATGACTTGCAAATCTATATTAACTCTTTCTTCTGAACTAGTTCGGTGTCAGTAAGTGCCTGCTGAGATCTCTATCTGGATTCCCATAAGCATCAACATGTTCCAAATGGAACAAATCTTCCCCTGCTAAACCTATCCTTCCACCAAATTTTCCTATTTCTGTTTAGAGGACCACTAATTAGCATTAGTCAACCAAGTTCATAATCTCAGAATCATCCTCAACTCATCCCCACTCCCTAATTTCCCATATGCAAATTAGTTGACTAGTCCTGTAACTTCTGCCTCCATATCTCTTTCACATCAACCTCCTGTGCCCTCATACAACTAGTAACCTAGGGTTAACCAACTAATTTAGATATGAGATTATCACCTCAGTGGAACTAATGCAATACCCCACTGACTTTTTCCCTACACTTTTCCCACTTCCAGTGTCTCTCTTTTCCATGCCATCCTTCCCATAGCTGACAAAATGGTGGAATGGAAAGAATATCATTTCTGCAATCACAAGACCAGGGTTCAAATTCCACTTCTGATGTGCACTATCTGTGTGACCCTGAGCAAGTCATGTAACCTTTCTGAGCCTCAATTTCCTCAACTGAAAAAAAAGGGTATAACTAGATTAGGTACCTTCCTTTGAGGTCCCATCGAATTCTCTGATCCTCCTTTATAAAGCACAGGTTTGGCATGTAATTCCTTGGTTCAAAAATTGCTAGAAGTTTCATATTCTCTCTAGGATCAAATGCATTCTCAACCAGGCACTTAAAGCCCTTTCATGGCAACCTTTCATGACTTATTTCACATTGCTCCCCCTTCATTTCACACCTCATATTCTAGCCAACCTAATCCATTTGCTATTCACCTAAACTAACATTCCATTTCTCGCTTCTATTCTCCATACTTTAAATACACTTCCCTTCTCAATATGGTGTCTTGGAATCCTTACATGGAAGGTGGAGTAGGGCAGGCAGTTAGATGGTACAGTAGATAAGCCCAAGGCCTGGAGTTAGGAAAACCTGAGTTCAAATCCAGCCTCAGATACTTACTAGTTATGTGGTCCTGGGCAAGTCATCTAACCCCTGGTGTCTCAGTTTTCTCATCTATAAAATGAGGATCATAATAGCACTTATCTCCCAAGGTGGTTGTGAAGATCAAATGAGGTAACTGTAAAGCACTTAACACAGTGCATAGCACATAGTAAGCACTATATAAATATTCTCAATATTATTATTTTCAAGCCTCAGCGTATATGGAAGCTTCCATAAAGCCTTTCCCAATCCCCTTAGTTTTACTATGTGTACCTCTTTATCCCCAGTAAACTTAAGATCTACTTACATTGAAGGCAGAGCCTTCAATACAATTTTTGCATCCCTAGTGCCTAACACAATGTCTTGCTCTACATTATAGGATCGCTGAATTGATTTGAATCACAGATTGGCTGCACCAGTCACAATGGATTTACATTCTTTTTAATAATTTTAACTTATTTATTTAAATTCAATTTTATTTTCATTCCCAAATTCATTACTTCCTCCCTTCTCCCCTACTCACTGAGAAGGTAAGAAAAACAAAATCCATTACAAATAGGTATAGTCATACAAAACAAATTTCCACATTAGCCATATCCAAAATGAAAAAAAAAAAGAGAAGGAAATCTACTTCAATCTGCTCTCTGAGACAATAACCTCTCTATCTGGAAGGGGATAGCATTTTTCATCATGAGTCCTTGTGGTTGGTCACTGTATTCATCAGTTACTATTATCTTTCAAAGTTGATTAACTTTATAATATTAAGGGTTATTACATAAATTGTTCTCTTGGTTTGGCTCACTTCACTTTGCATAAGTTATACAAGCTTTTCATGTTTTCCTGAAACCATCTCCTTCATACTTTTTTACAGCACAACAGTATTCCATCACATTTATAAACCCTAATTTGTTCAGCCGTTCCCTATTGATGGACTTCTTCTCAATTTCCAATTTTTTGCCAACACAAAAAGAGCGGCTATGACTATTTTTTTTTTAAACATATGGATTCTTTCCCCTTTCTTTGATCTCTCTGGGATACAGACCTAGTAACGTAATTGCTGGGTCAAATGATATGTCATAGTCCCAAACAGTTTTCCAGAATGGATGACTAGTTAACAGCTCTACCATTAGTCTACCTGTTCTCTCATACTTCTGCCATTACTTATCATTTTCCTTTTTTGTCAGCCTTGCAAACTTAATAGGCATGAGGGTGGTACCACAGAGTTTTAATTTGCATTTCTCTAATTATTAGTGATTTAAAGCATTTTTTTTTTCACATGACTGTTGAGAGCTTGGATTTCTACCTCTGCAATGTGCCTAGTCATATTCTGTGACCATCTGTCAACTGGAAAATAGATCTTTTTCTGATAATCTGATTCAGTTCCTCATATATCTCAGAAATTAGACCTTTATCAAAGAAACGTGCTGTTAGTTTACTGCTTTTCTTCGAATTTTAGCCGCACTAGTTTTGCCTGTGCAAAATTTTTTTATATTTTATGTAATCAAAATTATCCATTTTACTTCCTGTGAACCTCTCTCTCGTTTGGTCATGAACTCTTCCTTTAAACACAGATCTGACAGGCAATTTCTTCCATACATCACTAATTTGCTTATGATTTTAGACCCTTTATATCTAAATAATATACCCATCTGGGGCTTGTCTTGGCATAAGAATCTATATACCTAGTTTCTAGTTTTCCTGACAGTTTTTTGTTTAATATTAAGTTTTTGCCCCAATAGATGGGCTCCTTGGGTTTATCAAACACAAGGCCGCAGTATTTATTTGCTTCTGTATATTGTGTACTTAATCCCTTGATCAACCACTCTATTTTTCACACAGTAACAAATTGTTTCGCCAATTACAGCTTTGGAGTGTAGGGTGAGGTCTGGTACTGCCAGGCCCCCTTCCTTCCCATTTTTTCCCACTGATTCCCTTGATAATCTTCTTCTTTTTTTTTTCTAGCTCTATAAAGTAATTCTTTGGTAATTTAAATGGCATGGCGTTAAGTAAGTAGGTAGTATTGTCATTTTAAAAATATTGGGTTGGTCTACCCATGATCAACTAATATTTCTCCAATTATTTAGATGTGTCTTTATCTGTGTGAAAAATATTTTGTAATTGTGTTCATATAGTTTCAGTGTGTGTCATGGTAGGTAGACTCCCAAGTTTTTTATACTGTCCATAGTTAGTGTAAATAGAATTTCACTTTCTTCATCTTCCTGATGGGATTTTGTTGGTTAACATATAGAAATGCAGATGATTTGTATTGGCTTACTTTATATCTTGCAATTGTGCTGAAGCTGTAAATCAGGCCTGCACAACTTGTGATCCGCAGGATTTGGAAGGGCTCACGAAAAATGTAGAGGAAAACATCCTCTACATTTTTTGAAGGCTGTCCAAAATCCTTTGGTATGCCCACAAGCTGCTTACAGTAGGTTGTGAAGGCCTGCTGTAAATTGTTTCAATTAATTTTTCAACTGACTCTCTGGGGAAGCTTGCTGGTAGAGTGGATACAGTTCTGGGCCTAGAGTCAGGAAGACTTAAAACTCAAATCAGGCCTCAGACATTTAATAGCCGTGTGACCCTAGGCCCTAATGCCTCAATTTCCTTTTCTGTCAAATGGAAATTAAAGCACCTACCTTCCAAGGTTCTGAGAATCAAATAAGATGTCTGGCACATAGTAAGTGCTATATACATGTTAGCTATTATTATTATTAGGTTCTCTAAGTAAACTATACCATCTGCAAAAACTGATGGTTTTGTTTCCTCTCTGCCTATTGCCATCAATATCTTTTTCTTGACTAAAGTACTGAAGAGTAATGGGGATAATGGGGATAATTTTTCCTTTACTTATGATCTTACGGCAAAAGCTTTAGCTTACCTCCACTTGAGATAATTCTTACTCTTGGTTTTAGATAAGATACTATTTATCATTATGAATAAAGCTCTAGGAATAAACCTAGATTTTCTAGTGTTATTAACAGGAATGGTTATTAGATTTTGTCAAAAGCCTTTTCTGAATCTATTGACATAAGTATATGATTTTTGTTAGTTTTGTTATTAATATGATCAGTTATGTTTATAGTTATTTAATATTGAACCAGCTCTGCATCCTTGGTTACATCCAGCCTGGTTATAATATATTGCTATAGTCTAATATCTTATTTAAATTTTTGTATCACTGATTCACTAGGGAAATTGCCCTATTAAGTATTCTGTGTCCCCCCTCCCCAGTTTAGATATCAAGACTAAATTCATATCAAAGAAGGAATTTAGTAGGATCCTTTCTTTAACTATTTTTCAAACCTTGTATAAAGTAACAGAATTGGTCTTTAAATGTTTGGTAGAATTCATTTGTAGATCCATCTGGATTTTGCCTTAAGGTGTTCATTTATGCCTTGTTCCATTTCTTTTTCTAAGATAAGTTTATTAAAGTATTTATTTCCCATTCTGGTATTCTGGGCAATTTATAATTTTGTAAACATTAATCCATTTTATTTAGACTGTCAATTTTATTGGCACATGGGAGAAACAACTCCTAATAAATGCTTTTATTTCTTATTTTTTCTTATTTATTTATTGGTTATGAATTCACCTTTTTTTCAATTTTGATACTAGCAATTTGGTTTTCTCTTTTTAAAAAAAATCCAATTATGGCTCACCTATTTTATTTTCCCCCAAAAAATTTACATTCCAGATATGAATTATTCAATGGCAATTAAAAAGAACCCTGGTTATGTTAGAATCTTAGTTGAGTTACAGGAAAAATTTAACAATACTAGGAAGTTTTAGAAACAGGTATTGCAGGCTTAACTTTATAACTACCAATTAGCAAGTTCAATTCTCCTAAATCATCTTAAGGGATAATAGCATTACCTTTATTTCTCTGTATTCTATAATTCAGAAATGTGCATATCTCTAAATTTACAACTTATTTAGCAATGTAAAATAACTTTATTCTAAGCTCTGGAAGCTATAGTATTCCAAAACATGTATTACTGTCAAATTCATTTTCTCAAAAGAAACACTAGTTCCTGGATAAACCTGGATAAGTCTATGAGGCAGCTTAGGTGGCCAGTAGAAAGACATCAGGTCTGGAGTCAGAGAGACTAAATTCAAATCTAGTCTCAGACTCTTACTAGCTGTGTGACCCTGGGCAAGTCACTTAACCTCTGCCTCAGCTTCCTCCTCTGTAAAATAAGGGTAATGACAACACCTACCTCAGTAGTGTTTTAAAGAGTGCCTGGAATACAGTAGACACTAAATAAAAGTTAGCTATTATTATTTTAGCTTTGTCATCTTCTGTATTATAATCCCTTTAACAATTTCAAGCTTTTAATATCACATATATATAGCTCTATTACACTTTCCAATTTCTCAAATATCAACCCTTTTAGCTGCTGTTTTCGAATTCGGAAGCTTGGGAAAGCAAAGAAAAAGTCGTCTGAACAGCTTTCACAAAATGGACATCCCACCTTTAAGCTCCATTTGCCCTTACTTTGTCTATTGGGATCCGTCTTCCCTCAGCAATGGTCTTCTTGTTATTTAAATATGCAGGATAAATGCAAATGAACCTAAGAGAAACAAAGAAGTAGGTTTTATAACACAGGATTTAGAGTGGAAAGAAATCTTTGAGATTATGCAGTCCAACCCAATCTTTTTAGAAATGAGGAGATTGAGAAACAGATGTTAAACTGTTGGCCCAAATCCTCGAAGTCAGAGTTAGGATTAGAACCCAGACCCCTGGGATTGCATGCTCCTCCCACTGCAACGTTAATGCGACTGAACCAAACAAGCCCAGCGGAGGAAGGGGCTTTGTCCCCACGGCCGGGGTTCTCTCCACGAATTTCAGGGGTGATTCCTGGAAGGAGGCTGGGAGGTGGTCCAGGGCTCAGTCTGCGGTTCATTTCACAGCTACTGCCCCGGAAAGAGTCCAGAGCAAGGTTCCCTCGCTGGACGAGCGAAAACCCTCCTCCCCCTCCTCCGCCCCCTCTCCCCTCTGCACCCCCCGACCCCCCTCCCCTCTGCGCCCTCCGGCCCCTCCTCTTCCCCGCGGCTTCCCAGAAGCCAGAGCCCAGAGGCTTCCGCGCCGTCCGGGCAACTTTAGCCAGGGAGAGTAGCCAGGCCACTCACACCGGCCCCGTCCCCCGCTCCCTCTTCCCACCGAAGGCCTTTACCTGTCCTTGTCCGCCGGAGACCGATCGGCGTACGCCATCTCCCGAGGGACTCACGCTCCTCGAATCCAGGAGGCGAGGAAATCTCGCCCAGCCGGCGCCGTTGCTGACTTCACGGTTGTCCCTTCCAGCGGAAATCCCTCCTACCACACAGTGGCAATTTCCGCCATCTCCCTCGGCCTGTTCGTTCTGGGAGCTGTCACTCAAAGACTTGGCGCTAGGAGAACTGTGAAACGAGCCCGCCTCCTCCGAGAATCACGCATGCGTAGTTCAATTAAGGCCGTAGTGGACGGAAGCAGAAAGTTAACACTGACATCAAGGAAGTAGTTTGAGATGTAGTCCACACCTGGTTTCCTGGTTCGTGTTGGCTCGTCTTGAGCTTTTTTGGGGGGGGAGCGCGAAGGAAAGTGGGGAGGGGAAGCGGGGAAGGAGGAGAGAGCGCTGGAGGCGAGCGCCATCTTAGGACGGTAGATCTGTAACTGCGAGAGCCACCCGCTTCGGTCCGGGAGGTGGGTGTCAGCTACTGCTGGCGGCCGACATTTGCATATATAATATTTATTTTTATTTATTTTAATCAGCCAGGATCTGCCTTCTCACCCTCCCATCCCCTTGAGAACACACACACACACATTGCAAACATGTACTTTAGTCAAAAACAACTTTACTCATTGGCCTTGTCCAAAAGTAAAAATAAAAAATTTGCCTCATTCTGCACTGAATCCTTGACCTCTCAGGAGGTGGGCAGCATGTTGGTCTTTCGGCTGATAAGAATTCAGCACCAGAATACTGCAGTGGGAGAGCTGGTTGGGAGTCGGTCAGAATGCCAAGTCCAGAGTCCTCCCAAGCAGGGCTTCACTGTCGTAAAAGCAAAGGGAACCGAGCAGCTCAGGATGCTGGGTGGGTGGGTACAAGGCAATGGGGACTTGCTTAGATCAGAGCTGAAGGGGGAGTAACTTAGGGAAATTTGCCATGGCATAGTCTACGTGCTATGCAAGCAAGAAAAAAAAAAAAGACGCGCCTACGCTGTACTGGGTCTTCGGGTGGCTATCTGGAAATATCCTCTACTTTCACTTTCGAGAGTCCGTCATTACCATATTCATAACATGTAAATAGAGGCTTTGCCCTCACCTAAGTTACTGTTGGGCATTGAAGAGTCTTCTTCCCTTGACCACAAGGTCGCTGGTGATAGGGTGGGCTACGGAGTGGTGAGGTTGCGGGGGAAGTAGTTGTTTCTCAGCAAAAATGGCTAAGAATATAGGGGAAAGGGTTGCCTAATCAGGATATAGGGAAAGGATGGCTCACTGCTCTGGGGGAAAAATAAGACTTTGCTGTTCCTACTCCAAAATTCCATCCCATTTCTATACAATAACATGTTCAGCCATTCCCTAATTTATATAAGGTCACTCCCTCAGATTCCCAACTGTCAAGTCTGAAAGCAAATGACCAGAGAGCCACAGAGATTATGTACCTGCTGTTTACTCATGCAATACGAAAGAGCTCACACACAACCACAGTTATCACAACCACAGTTAATTCTAAGAAATAATATAAAATAGAACCAAAGAGCTAACAGCAGTCATAAGCAAAAAGCTTTCTTTATTCTGTTGGCTTAGACACATGTGGCAGGTCTTCCTTTAGGAGGAGACCCTGCTTTAGTGAGGCCAGACCTGCATACATTGAGCAGTGGCTGCAGGTGGGCTGTAGCCGGGACAGACAATGTTGGGTCCTAGCAGGGCTTCTTGACCAGAACATGGTTCCTGCAGTTGTTCAAACAAGCCCAGGGACCACCTGGGGCTGGTGTGAAACAATTCTGAGATTTTGCTGTGACTGAGTTCAGAGGGTGAGCACAAAGGACACACTTGTTTTCTGGGCCTGTGGTCTTGGCATGGGGATCCTGACACGTCCTTTGCTGTCTCAAAAAAGAGGTATTTTTGTACATCCTTAAAGTTTGTTTTCATAGGACTCATCCCTGTAGATCTTTGTTGTTCAGTTGTGTCCAACTCTTCATGACCCTATGAACAATAGCAAGCCAATACTGTCCATAAGGACAAAGATACTGGATACTTGGTAAAGATGCTGGAGTGGTTTGCCGCTTCCTTTTCCAGTAGATTAAGGTAAGTAGAAGTTAAATGACTTGCTCAGGTCACACAGCTAGTAAGTATCTGAGGCAGGATTTGAACCCAGGTCTTCCTGACTCCAGACAAGCTCTCTCCACTGCCCCACCTAGCTGCCCCTGTTAATCTACCTTCCCACTAATTCCCCTTGTGCCATCACTAGTTCTCCTGATCTGTGTGTTGCCACTGGATTCCATTAATTCTGGAGGAGAGAGTGAGGCTGATGACTTTGCACAGCTCTGCCTCACTGAAATCCAATTCACTTGCAAGTCAAGATGTCATTGATCCTCTTCGAATATGAAGGATGAGGGGGCAGCTAGGTGGTGTAGTGGATAGAGCACCGGCCCTGAAGTCAGGAGGGCCTGAGTTCAAATCCAGCCTCAGACCAAAACACTTGACTCGTACTAGCTGTGTGACCTTGGGCAAGTCACTTAACCCCAATTGCCTAAAAACAAAAATTAAATTAAAAAAAAAAGCTTCCATTAAAAAAGAAAAAGGACAAACAACAATTCCCCTTGCTCCCTTCTCCCCCTTTCCTCCTATTTCCCTGTTGAATAAAATGGATTTTTATACCCAACTCTGTGTGTGTGTGTGTGTGTGTGTGTGTGTGTGTGTATTCTTCTTTTGATCAGTTCAGATGAGAGTTGGGTTCAAATGTCAGCTGCTCCCCCTCCCTATTTGTATAGATAACTACTTATGCATTGTGAGAAATTATCTCTCTCATATTAATAACCAACTATTAATTGAGATTAAGGTTTTTTAAAATTTCTATTTCCTGATTCAGAAATAAATTCCTGTAAGCTGAACAGCCAATCTTTGAAGGATGTTACTGACCTTGCCCAAAATTTGCCTAGACCTAGACCATCTTATCCAGGTGGAATTGTTACTCCACTCAACTAGAAAACCTTACAAAGAGAATCTAATCTAGGTGAATTCTGTCCCTTTGTGTTTTATTCAGACAAGCTTGGGTGAGGGGGTAGATCTCTTTGTCTAGATTGCCCAAGGCAGGAGGTGATCTGGGAGTAAGAATAATATAATTAAAGTCTTGCCCCGCCACCAGGCCCCTCATTAGAATAGACCCACCTCTCATAGTATTCATTCTCTCATTAATTGTTAATCAGTCAGAGTTGATTGCTGCCTGTTGGGAACACCCACTCTTCCAAGGGCATATAAGCATTTAGAGGTCTCTATGATTTGTCTTTGGTTTAGGAGAGAAAGCCAAATGACCATTCTTTTATTAATTATTTGCTAATCATAATTGATTAAATAATTAATTACCCAGAAATTATGTCTCTTAAACTTGTCATTCATCACAGCACTTTAATTATGTGAGATAATTTTCCCTAACCCTTTCTTTGTCATCCCCTCTAGTGTTTTCCTCTTCTATTTTCCATTATTTTCTTAAGATTATTAAGACATAATAGAACCATTCCCAGACCTTTTCTAATTGGACTCCCTTTGTGAAATGATAATGATAGGGTTTAGAGCAGACAAATTTATCATCTTTATTTAAATGTAAGCAATTTATCCTTGTTTAATCCTTTATCATTATTCATTCCTATTTACCTTTTTATGTTTCTCTTCTTTCATGTGTTTGAACTTCAGCCTTTCTCTGAAGCCCTGGTCTTATCATCAGGAATGCTTAGAAGTCCTCTATTTCATTTTGCTGGAATATTGTATTCCAAATTCTCCACTGCTTCATAGTGGTGGCTGCTAAGATCATGTATGATCCTGACTATAGCTCCTGGTTACTTTAATTCTTTCTGGCTGCTTGCAGTATTTTTACTTTGATCTGGAAGCTCTAAATTTTGGCTAGATGTTCCTATAAGTTTTCAGTTTGGGATTTCTTTTAGGAAAAGACCAGTGAATTCTATTTTGATTTTGCTCTCTGGTTCTAGCAATTAAGATTTCTTGAAATATGATGTCTAGGCACTTTTTTTGGCCATAGAATTAAGATAATCTGAGGGTTATTTTCTCCTCAATCAGTTTTCCAGGTCAGTTGTTGTTACTACGAAGTACCTTTCATTTTCTTCTCTTTCTCTCTCTTCTCTCCCTCCCCCTCCATGACGTTATTTCATGATTTCTTATTGGCTTCTAAATGATCAGTTCTAATTTTGGGGGAGCTTGTTACTTGGGCAAGGTTTTGTATTTCTTGTGCCAAGCTGTTAATTCCCTTTTCAATGTTTTCTTCCATGTCTCTCTTTTCCATTTTTCCTCTCAAGCATCCTCATTTCATTAATAAAAACATTTTTAAATTTAATTAATTAATTTTTAGTTTTCAACAATCACTTCCATAAGCTTTTGAGTTTTAAATTTTCTCCCCCTCCCTTTCTACCTCCCTCCCCAATACAGTGTGCAATCTGATATAGGCTCTTATACATTCCTATTAAACATATTTTCACATTAGTCTTGTAAAGAAGAATTGGAACCAGTAGGAGGAACCACAAGAAAGAAGAAACTAAACAAAACAGACAAAAAAATAAAAAGAGCAAATAATGTGCTTTGATCTGCATTCAGACTCCATGGTTCTTTCTCTGAATGTGGATAGCATTTTCCATCATGAGATTTTTTTGGCAATGTCTTAGATCCTTGCATTGCTGAGAAGAGCTAAGGCTATCAAAGTTAGTCATTGCACAATATGGCTGTTGCTGTGTGCACCGTTCTCCTGGTTCTGCTCACTTCACTCAGCATCAGTCCATACAAGTCTTTCCAGGTTTTTCTGAATTCTACTTGCAATGAAAACATTTTTTATCTCTTTTTAAGAAATCTTGATTTATCTCTTCCAGGAATTCCAGGTGAGTTTTTTCCCAAGCTGAATTCTTCTCTGAGGCTTGGCTTTCAGATGTTGTGGAGTCATTCCCCTCATCTGCATTTGCTAGGGTCCCTACCATCATAATGGCTCTTTATTGTGAGATTCTTTTGTTTGCTTTTGTTATTTTAGTCTACTTCTTGACTTCAGGCTATTCTTTGCTACATGGAAGTGTGTATTTCTGGAGGGAAGGTCGGGGTTGGTCCTGTTGC